CCCCTTACCTCGTGGAGAAAAAGTGTCCCTTTTTTTCATTTCACAGACCGCCCTCAAGAGCTGGGGGAAGAATCGATTCTGGAACCGATTCCCTCGGTTAGTGCTAGAGAAGAAAAGTTCCGATTCTTTTTTACGTAAACCAATAGTTACCAATTACTATATTATTACGTATAAAGACAAATGTTTGTGCCCTGCTGTGTTTCGAAATCGAGGTTATCCTTGAATCCGACTAGGTAACCGGAACTGGCTAGGTGTTGGATTCAATGGAAGTAATTGCTACTTGGCCGGAAGTAATCATATAATGGTCGCCTTTAAGGACAAGCGGGCTAACCCAGATTTCGGGGGTTTCTAGAAATCTTGAGCTATACAAAAAATGGGCATTGCCCTACCTATAAGAGACGTTTGGTTTGACTGGTGTGTATTTTGACTGGTGTGTATATTTGTTTGATTATAGAGAAAACACTCCTTGTCTTTTAATGAAAAGACGAATTGTCTATAGGTAGTTGTTGTTGTTGTTACCGATCCAGGTCTATAGGTGGAACCACTGGAAGAAGTCATGGACACCCGGAAGAATAAATATCAACAGTGGAGAGAAATTAGGTTCGGACTCGATTCCTACGATTCCTATTTTGCAGTAATCGGAACCGGCCGCCACTACTGTGTGCTCACCGGTGTTGTCCTAGGGCAATTTGGGTCAGACACGTGAGTGTGGTTGGTGATGAGTGGGCCTGGGGGGGGGGGGGTACTGGGGGACTCTTGTTGTTGGGAGGGTGGGTGAGGCGGAGTGGTGATGAGTGGTCCTGTGGGGAGGGGTCTCTTTTTACTATTTGGGGGGTGAGGGGTTCGGGCTGGAGTTGGACTTAGGCTAAGGGGTGAGGGAAACTAGAAAAGGGAAGGGGTGAGGTTGAGGGTAGGGGGCGGATGTAAGGGGTGAGTGAGACTGGAAGGGGAGGTTGAGGGTAGGGGTGAGGTTAGGGGGCGAGGGAGACTGGAAAATGGAGGGGGTTTGATGGTAGGGGTGAGGGTAGGGGGCGGGTGTAAGGGGTGAGTGAGACAGGAAGGGAGGGTTGAGGGTAAGAGTGAGGGTAGGGGGCGA